TTGAGGTAATGACTGCTGTGACTGCTGCTCCGCTCCACGCGTCAGCCAGTCGGCCGTATAGCTCGCCATCTGAAGTTTCGCAGCCCCTAGCGCAACCTGTCTGCGACGACTGAGAGTCTGCCGACAAGGTCCCTCCGCACGCCGAGGCGGCGCAACCTCGCGAACCCAAGACAGTGCGGCGCAAGCTGCTGGAGACTCACCGAGAGCAGCAGCGGACCCGAAAGACAGTGTGGCCTGACTTCCACCCGAGGCGGCACCGGCGTCTTCGTCGCACCAGGCTTCGTCGTGGTCGTCGTGTGGTTCGTCAACGACTTCCATCGGAGAAGATGTGCTGTCGTCCAATGGCTCGGGAGCAGCGACAGCTGGTTCATGGCTCTGAAATTTGCCTTTGAACCTGCCTCGCTTTGGTGGTCTGCCACGTTTCTTCTTCGTGTCCATGACTGCTGCGGGTGCTGAGTGCCGCAGTAGGGCGTATGAGCGGGGGCACACCCTCGCACAAGCGCTATGTGTGCGTGCGTGTGTGCGTGCGTGGCAGGAACAAATCGCCGCCCATCGGCAAAACAAAATGCCGAATATCTCGCGAACCAGATTTTTTTCGGAAAATAGGAAAAAAATTCCATCTGGGAATTTTGAGAGGAATCGATTGCCGTGGTCTCTTTGAAGCTCTCTCTATGGTTGAATGTCGGAGGGGAAAAGTGAACAAAATGGTCTCTCTAATGCAGTTTTTCGGCGATAACTTCGTCGATTTTTGCTGAAATCGAAATCGGAAAAAAATTCCACCTGGGGAATCGCGAGAGCTGTCGAAATCCGGTCTCATAATTGTGGTCTGACAAAAGCCCACCCCAGGAAAAAGTGAACAAGATTTTCCGATTATTTGCAAATAAATCGACAACAAGAAAAAAAAAACTTTCCACAGGGACCTGCACCTGGAAACAGGGCGTTTGCCGCTACTTTCGGTTTTGCGAACAACCACCTGGGTGCAGAGAAACAATTCATAAAGTGGGTGTCGCAATTGTTGATATTGGGTCTTGGACTGACCATACGAAAAAGATTAATTACAACGATTCTATAATCTGCACACAACCGAGCGTGTGTGGTGATGCGCCAGCGAGGAGGAAGTGCGTGTGCGTAAACGGGCCTCTTTAACCCTTCATCTGCCACCCTCGTGCTTCTTCCACATTTTTGAGCTCCGCCGGGTGCATTGTTTGTGTCGTGTGCAGTGCGCATGGGGCCCACGGGGTATCTCACGGGGAGCTCGGCCAACCAGCAACTGTTCCTAAAAAGACCGAAATGAACAGCACGACCGAATTGGAGCTTTTCGGCGGTCTTTGGAACCAAATTGTAAAATAAAAGCGAAGGACCACGATTCCTGAAGATCCAGCGGTCTTCGGCTCTCGGGAAGATAAAAAAGACCGAGACCAAATCGAAATTCGATCTCCTCAAACACCGTATGATCGGTGCAGTAGTGGGCCCCCTATAGTGCACTTTGAATAGTGCAACCGCCCGATATAGTGCAGGTAAAATCTCTGCGCACAGACGGCGCCCTCAATAGTGCAGGATCTGTGCTATTTAGGCAGATACCCGATACAGTACAGGTTGGGCACCGCGGTGCCCCGCAATAGTGCAGGTGGAGAAACATTCACACACACACACACACGGTTAGCGCGGTCGATGCTTATAACAAAAAAAAAAAAACACACACACACACACGCGATCAAGCGAAAAACAAGACACACACTCACGAACAACAGCGGATAGACGCAACACAAACGCGGCGCGCGTGCTGCTGCAGACCCGAAGAGCTGTACGCAGCGCAGAGGCGCACCATGCCTTGTGCGGACGGTGAGCTGTGCCACCAACCAGACAAGACGCCGCAAGCGGCTCCACGGCAACTGCGGCAGCATGGTTGGCGACATCGAAACAAGGCGAATCTGCTGCTCGTGCGTCGCAAGAGCTGGCAAGCGCAAAGAGATACCAGCTGAGGGTGCTGAGGGTGCTGGGGCGGGACCATCTCAACGCCCGACGAAGAAGAAAGGGGGGAGCGTGAAGGCTTCGTGTGGTGCTCGTGCGCGGGTGGACATCAATGGGAAGCTTGACATCCTCAAGCTGATCGATGCCAAGGTCTCCTACGCGCAGATCGCAGACCGCTTCAAGTGCTCTGTGCGGTTTCTTGCGACGGTGAAGTCTGACCGGAAGAAGATCGAGGCGGCAGCTGCTGCAGGTGCCGGCAGCCAGAAAACTGCACGCAAGCAGAGTTTCAGGAGGTGAGCTACACGGAAGATTGCGGTGGCGGTGAGAACACGGGGCGCGAGCGCCGTGCTCCACCGGCTTATAGTGAGCTAGCTGTCACCTCACTTCGGCGTCCTGGAATCGGCAGCAGATGAGAGTGGCAATGGAGACGCGGCGTTCCATCTGCAGAAAGCAAAAATGGTGATGATCGCAGCGCATGCCGCTAAGCGGGTGCGCCAGGCAGACATGAGAGAGTTTGTCGAGACGTAGTGAAGGCGGCGGGTGTACGTGGTTTTTTTTTTTCCTTGCAGTCAGCTTCCTACGCGCCTTTCTCGTTTCTTTTTGTATTTTTTTTCCCGCAACACCGCAGCGGGTGCGCCGGGCAGTCATCAGGGAGTTTGTCACGACGTTAGCAAGGGTGCGGGGTGCATGCTTGCTTGATTTTTCTTTGCAGTGACCTTCCTGCATGATTTTCTCTCTTTTTTACTTGTGTTTTTTTTTATTGCAACATAGCAGCCGGTGCGGCAGGGGTCGTCAGATAAATTGGTACGACGGAGTGAGGTTGCGCCTGGCTGGTTGTGTGTGTGTTGGTTCTTGCTAAATCGAAGCCAGGTGCGCCAGGGAGACATGAGAGTTTGATCATCACGTAATGATGGCAGGGGCCAGCAGTACATGGTTGCTCGTGTTTTTGAAGTGGGCTTTCTGCCGTATTTTTCCTATACACGCAAGTCTTTTTCTATCACCAACATCGAGGGAAGGCAGGCAACGAGGACTGAGAGTTAGCTTTGTCCACTATTAATCCACAATCTCGATCCATTTCGTACTCTGTTGGCCCCGCAAAGCGCGGACGCCACACTCACAACGTGAAGTCGAAGAGTGCCTCAATAGTGCAGAACCTGCACTATCGAGGGCACCCTTTTCAGTAGTGCAGGTGCCTGCTATAGTGCAGGTGAATTCTCACGACAGACCCCTGCACTATATAGGACCCACTACTGTATCGAGAAGTCGGTGTTCGGTACCATCAATTCTACCCTCGATACNCTGCTGACCCTTGGGGTCCATTTTATTTTGGTATACCTTTTCTAGGTACGTTAGCCTGTGACCACGGAAATTGACCGAGTTAAGTGCTGGATTAGTACGGAGAGATTGAGACAGAAGGAGGTACTGGATAGAGAGACCGGGATGGTTTTTAATGTGAAGACAACAACAACAACAACAACAACAACTGACCCACTCGGCGGTCCCGATGCACGAATCAACCGAGGGAGGGGTGACCATTGATTTCGCCGGGTCCCCATTTTTTCCTCCCAAAGGGGAAGTCGACATCACTTTTTCCCGAACGGAAATGCAGAAGATTCATAACAAAAACCGGCCGACTGCTGCGGGGGCGCCCCGTTATTCACTGCTTGCTGTCCTAATGTTCGTTCAAGGTTGATCCGTGATGCTGTCTGCTCCGAGAACCAAAAACTACCCCTAAAACAACGGCCGTATCTTGATACGTATCAAGAGCTTTTGTCCATGTGTAATTCATCGCAGATAATATCGACTTTCTATTCATTTCTATGCCGTTGGTGCATTGTTCTTGTCGTTTCTCACATTNAAAATGGACCCCAAGGATTAGCAGAGCAATAAAATACAAGAAAACAAGAGAATCAGAAACAAATAAATAAATAAATAGTGGAACGTGCGCACCACCAGCCTGGGGGGTAGCCTTCCGGAAGGACCCCAAGGGTCAGCAGTTGTTGTTGTTGTTGTTGACTTGACATTATACCGTATGTTGTTGTTGTTGACTTCATATTAAACCGTATGCCAGTTGCTAAATGCCAAAATCTAGCAAAGACTCTCGGCCCGTGGTCACGAAAGTGCTGGAGCCATCTGAGGATCTAGAGAACACGCACACACACGTAGCAAGAAAAAGGTGTACAAGAGCCCGAAGAGATACTACTACACCAATATAACTCCCTTCTTCCCCTCGCTCCTCGACAAGCTTTTGCTTAGACATGGGTTGTAG